ACAACAAAAAAAAAAAAGCAGGAAAGGCACTCCCATTTACTCCTACACTCCCCAAAATAAAATATGCACATATTGTGATCATGGGCTCCTATTTAGAAAGTGCAACATTTAAAAATAAGCTTATCCTTCAAAAGTGTCTAAGTCCTGCCAAATCACAGGGAATTATTTTTTAAACCTGATTAGAAGAGATTGAACACCCGGGCATAGTGGCGCATGCTTTTAATCCCAGCACTCAGAAAGCAGAAGCAGGTGGTTCTCTGTGAGATCAAGGCCAGCCTGATCTACATAGCAAGTTCCAGGCCATCTGGAGCTACAGGGAGACCCTGTCTCAAAAAAGACCAAGAACAAATTATATATGTGTGTGTGTGTGTGTGTGTGTGTGTGTGTGTGTGTGTGTGTGTGTAAACCTTGCAAGCATTAACCATAGTAAGTGGATATATGTTCAGCAAGTATTCCAAAGGAGAAAAACAAACCTTCTTAATAATAGTAATAAGCGGTCAACCAAAAAGGAAGTCATAACAACCCTAACTTTGCATATGTTTAATTATATATGTTCTAAATCTATAAAGCAAAATGAACCAATCAAAAGTGCTGGGAAATACTAGTCATGCCTACAAAAATGAACTGAATAAGCAGAAGAGTGATAAATAGAAAAAGAAATTTTAAATAGCATTAACTAACTTGACCTAATTTATATTTGTAGAAACCACCAACAGCTGTTTCTTCCCAACTACACACAAGACATTTATCAAAATAGATCACATGCTGAACTGAGAAAGAATTATAATCATAAAATATATTCCTTTTTGAAAAAATTTTATTATAATCATAAAGTATATTCCTTTTTGAAAAAATTTTAAACTATTTTATTCTGTATATACATGATGTGCATGCAGGAGTGTGGGTGTGTACCTGCAACAACTCATGTGAGGGCAGAGCCCCTACAGAGGAATCCTTTCAACAGTCAGTAACTTGAAGACAAAGCTTTTCTTTTTTAAAATTATTTTTATTTTATTTTAGGTGTATGAGTATATTGCCTGCATGTGTATATGTGTACCCATGTCATGCATTGCCCACAGAGGTCAGAAGAGGGAGTTGGATCCCCTGGAACTAGAGTTTTGGATGGTTTTTAGCTGGCATGTAGGTAACTGGGAACTAAACCCAGGTCCTCTACAGGAATAGCCAATGCTCTTAACTACTGAGCCATCTTTCCAGCCCCTTCCCCCCCACCTCCTTTTTTTTCTTCCTGTAGGCCCAGCTGGCCTGGAACTTGCTATGTAGACCAGGCTGGCTTCAATCTCAGAGATCTGCCTGCCTCTGCTTCCCAAGTGCTGGGATTAAAGGCATGGGACCACCAGCCAGCCTGGTCTACATAGTGAGTTCTAGGACAGCTGGGGCTACAGGGAGACCCTGTCTCAAAAAGACAAAAAAAAACAAAAAAAAAACAAAAAAAACCTCCAAATGTTTTATTTGCTTTAAAAAATAATAATAAAGTACATTACTAAATGAACCATGAGACAAACAAGAAATTGCAATATAAATTGAAAAATATTTTTGCACTGCTCAATAATGAGCTAGTAGAATTCATAGAAAATGCACAGCAGAAATTTTGTTCTATGAGCATGTGTATTACAAAAGAAGAATGATAAAAATCAGTGGTCTGTGTGTTTACCTCAGGATGCCAAAAAGAAGAAAACAAAAGCATGTTAAACTCAACAAAAGTAAAAGGAAGAAAAACTAACAAAATAGAAAGCAGATGAATGATGGAAGATACCTTGGTTCTTTGAAAATAAAATTAATACACTCGTAGTAAGAGTGATCAAAGGGCAAAAAAAGAAAAATACAAATATCCAATATCAGGGATAAAAAGTATAGTATCACTACCATCCTATAATTAAAAATATAGCATGCTGGGAACTTAGATGAGGTGGACGGATACTTTGAAAAACAGTTTGTGAAAACTGACACGAGTAAATAGAAAATCCAAGTAGTCTTATATCTGCTAAAGAAATATAATCTGTAATTTCAAACCTAACCTTCCTACAAAGGCAGTTCCAGGCCCAGATAACTATGCTAGTGAATTCTTCCATACATTTAACAGTCTTATGTAAACACTACCAGAGACTAGAGGAAGGACTAATCCCTATATAGCCTTAAAGCACTGTTACCATGATACAAAATGAGAACATTACAAGAAAAAGAAAATTATAAACCATTAATTTTAATGAACAGTGGTGTCTATCCAAAAGATTAATTACTTAAATAAATATTTTTTTAACTCCTGGCAAGTGAGATTGATTTATTTTAGGAATACACGATTAACCTAATAAAATAAAAGAGGAAAACGATATGGTCATTTTGTGGATTAGAAAAGGCATTTATGCTGGGTGTGGTGGTGCACGCCTTTAGTCCCAGCACTTGGGAGGCAGAGGTAGGCGGATCTCTGTGAGTTCAAGGCCAGCCTGGTCTCCATAGTGAATCCAGACTAGCTGGAGATACAGGGAGACCCTGTCTCAATAAAACAAACAAACAAACAAACAAAGCATTTATTTGGTAAAATTCAGTACCTGTTAATGGTAAAAATTAAGAGGACACTAGAAAAAATGATGATTTAACCCAACAGTGAATATCTACAGCTCTCACTCTCCTTCCTCTACCTTCAAGAAGAAGGCAGGGAAAGGGAGAAATAAAATCACCTTTCATCTGAGATGACTAATGATGTAAAGAAGTCAGTGAGATGGCTCAGCAGGTAAAGGTACTTGCCGTCAAACCTGATGACCTGAGTTCAATCTCTGAGACCCACCTGATGGAAAGAGAGAACCAACTGAGGCTCTGACCTTCACACATGTACACATGTATCATCACACATGCGCGCACACACACACAGATAAAAAAACGTAATTTAAAAATATTTTAAATACTGTAAAGAATATGGCTTTATGGTATAGGACTATGACCCTCACTGTATAAAAAGTAATGTAGAAAATCTGAAATATCTGCAAACTACTATAGTAATATAATTAATATATAATGTACTGACATAATAATATACTAGGTGAATCTGGCATTGTCTTTGGGTAAAATGTCAATATGTAGCCCCCCCCCTTTTTTTTGGTCTTTTTGAGACAGGGTCTCCCTGTAGCTGCAGCTGTCCTAGAACTCACTGTATAGATTAGGCTGGCCTTGAACTCACAGAGATCTGCCTGCCCCTACCTCCCAAGTGCTGGGATTAAAGGCGTGTGCAACCATGCCTGGCAAAAACCCTATTTTTAATGTATTAGCAATAAATAACTATAAGAAACTTTAAATGTCATTAGAAAGAACATCAGAAAACTTCAAAGACAACCTGTCACTGAAGTTGTGTGTCTTCTATACACTGGACGCTATTAAGATTGCTAAGACCTACAAACCGTCCTTAACTCCAGTTCCACGGGACTCCGACGCCCTCTTCTGACCTCCGTGACATTGCATGACATGGGTGCACTCACATACATGCAGGCAATACACTCATACACATAAAATAAAAATAATAAGTAAAATATGAAAAAAAAGATTGCTAAGATGCTTCAGAGATGTTAGAGCTAATGGGAAACTGAATCATGTTGATGAATAGAGGCCTCAGTGTCCTTCGGGGTCATTTCATCCCAATCTCAGGTCAATACAATACCAATTAAAATGGGTATTTTGTAGACATTGGTAATTTGCTTCTGAATTCTATATGAACATGTAAAGGTTCTAAATAGCTGAGATAATCTTAAAGAACAAAGTTGGAGACTTGCATTGTCGGTCTCAAGCCTCCCTGTAAAGCCACAGTAATCAAGACAGGGAAATACTGAAGTAAGGCTAGACAAGTGGACCCACAGGTTAAAGAGAGTCTAGATAAAGCCATATCTGAGGTCACTTGATTTATGACCAAAGCACCATTGCATTCAATGAAGAAAGACACTTTTCAATAAATAACTCCAGAACAGTCAGATGTCAATGTAAAGAAAGGCTTATGTCATAGTCTCAAAATTATTTCAATTTAAACCTAAAATGAATCAGTAATTGGATACCATAGCACACACCTGCACTCCCAGCTAGCCAGGAAGCTGAAGTGGGAAGATTACTTGTGACCAGGAGTTCAAAACTAGCCTAGGTAGTTGGAGAGATGGCTCAGGGGTTAAGAGCACTGGCTGCTCTTGCAGAGGACCCGGGTTCAATTCCCAGCACCCACATGGTAGCTAACAATCATCCTTAACTCCACTTCCAGGGAATCCAGTGTCTTCTGGCCTCCTTGGACATTGCACATCATGGATGCACTTCCACATGAAAGCAAAATACTCATACACATAAAAATTTAAGAGAAAATTAGCCTAGGCAACAAAAAGGAAAGATGGAATATGGGTTAGAAGATAATCTTCTCATGTAGCCCAGATAGCCTGGATGGCATGGAACTTGCTATGTAGACCAGGCTGACCTTGATCTGTAAGGTCCACCTGCCTCTGCTTAGAGTACTAGGATTAAAGGCATACACTACCACGCCTATCCTGAAATCAGAGATCTTGAACGGACATGTGAAGCATTAATTATAGAGGACAAATTAGGGTTGAACTTCATTGAAGTAGAAAACTTTCCTTCGATGTTTCATTAAAATGTAGTAAGAAAAAAGACTAGCCACAGACTGGGAGAGGATATTCACAAAAAATAAACATAGATGGGTTACAGGCCCCAGGAAGGATATGTAAAGAGCTATAGATAGTTTTCAAAAGCAGAACTAGAACAGGAATTTCTCAGAGCAGAGGAACAGAAGAGATAACCAGTAAACAAATAAAAGGTGCTCTGAATCATTGGGAGATGCTGATGAACACCACTCAGAGGTAGCATGGCACACACGCTGAAGGGTAAAGTAAAAGCCCAGCAGTACCCAATGCTGTTGAACAAGTGGAGCCCTTATAAATTACAGACTGTTGTCCTCAGGAGCTTTATATCTGGAGGAGCCGAATATAGCACAGATAAGATAGGTATCACAGTGTGATCCTTCTAGGAATGACTGCAAAGTCAGAACAGGCATTATTGTTTCCATTGACCACCTTGAGTGGTGTGACTGAAGATCTGAACCTGAACCCAGGGAACCTGACCTCCTGCTCAGACCTTCTCACGTGGAGGTAACCACACATGATCGTGTTACTTAAAATGAAATAAGTTTTTCAACTTTGATTATGGCCTAAAATGGCCTGATCATGCCCTCCCCTTCTCTGAGCACACTCCCATCCCCTGTTGTTTAAGGGATAGTCTCTCGGCCCCCTGGCAGCTCCCTCCAGCTCACTTAATGTTTTATTTATTTGTACGTATTTCTCTTTTCTCCTCCAGGTTGTGATCAATTATTTAATCGTGAAAGGGCTGAAGTACAATCAGGCAACACCCACATTCCACCAGTGGCGAGATGCTCGTCAGGTCTATGGCTTAAACTTTGCAAGTAAGGAAGAGGCGACCACATTTTCCAATGCAATGCTGTTTGCCCTAAACATCATGAACTCCCAGGAAGGAGGTAAGCAGGGCTTCCACTTAATGCTGAGACCCTCTCTCATTCTACTCATGTCCCAGCTGTGGCTACCTAGTAGAATCCTGGGTCCTCAGAAGCCTACCACTTGACTTGGGGTTTCGAGTTATGATTAACTGTATTGACTCAGGGTTTCAAGTTATGATTAATGGTAAGGAGAAGGAGGGAAGAATGTGTGTGAGGTTTTTTGCCGTTTGTAAAATGCAGCTCTGTATTAACATGCTTCTGAAGCCACCTGTTCAGATCTGCTTTTTGTTGGCCACCCCATTTCCCTGTTCTAGATCACATATTTGGCAGAGATAGGAAAGAGCAGTCAGCATTTTTTTTCTTGAATTCGATTATTCATATGTTCAACAAAGGTTAACTGAATACCTAGTACAAAAAACAGCTAGGCAGAATAGATTAGAAGTGCAGTGTGACCACCAAGGCATTTTAGAATTCTGGAGTTCACAAGTTCATAAACAATGAAATCTAATGTATTACAAGAAGCTCTCTAATAAGAGTATGTGCAAAGTACTTCAGTAATACAGGAAAGGAAACAAGTAACTCTGCCATCTGGGCTTCTGAGGGTGCTTTGACAGCAGTGTCAGCATCTGAGCTGAAGCTCTGAGGAGCCAGGACTGCTTGAGGCAGGGTGTGAATGGGACCTAGGCAAAGGAGCTGCCATTGCAGGGGTAGGGACATGAGAGCTTGTATGTGTCGAAAAAGAGCATCATCATAAGTGTGTCTGGAGCCTGGGTGTAGGAGGAAGGAGGCTGGAGATGAAACTGGAAGGGTGGAAGCTCGTGCCCCAAAGGCCCTACATAGGCAAGGCTTGGGGTGTAGTCTGTGGGTGGGACTAGCAAAGATACTCAAGTAGGACAGTTAGAGACACAAACTGCACAGTTGCTTTTATTGGACCTTTCCAATAGTATCTTTAGAGGGAGAGCTGAGGCCTCCCATCACGAGTGTCCTGATGGTCTCAAGCATGGCCCTGCAGTTGGCAGGCATCTTCACCTTGGTGGAACACAGTGGTTCCAGGCCAGGCTTAGATTCACACTGCTTGGTTTGAGTTCTGGTTCTGCCGCATTCCAGCTAAGGAACCCTTGAGCAACTCACTGAAGCTTTCTATGCCTCAACATCCCTGTCTATGAAAGCAGACATGTGGAGTTGCTTTTACGTTCATGTGAGCTAGAAGGTAAAACACTTAGCAGGCTGCCCTGGAACATTGTCATCACTTGATATTAGCCTTTGTAAGTATTGTTGATTGCTGCTGCTGTTGCTGCCACCACCACTTATTACCACCACCAAAACCAAGAAGTGGGGAGACAGGGTACTGGAGGGAAGTGGTACTTCAACATGGACTGAGCCTGGCATGTTGGTGCTTTGGGGCTCCAGTTTAAAACTTGGGAGAAATTTTGTATTGCTGTTTGATAAAACTGTGGAAAAAGGTCCTGTAAGCTGTGCATAGTGAGTACTCGTTCAGAGCTTTCCTGTCCTGCCAAGGCCCTGAGTGTGGGGATTTCCTGCCTGAATGATTAGCTGAGAAGTTTTAATCAGATACCAGATTCTTTCGAAGCAAATACTTAAATAAAAACAGCTATTGGGGCTGGAGAGATGGCTCAGTGACTAAGAACACTGGCTGTTCTTGCAGAAGACCCAGGTTCAAATCCCAGCATCCACATAGTAGCTAACAACTGTCCGTAACTCCAGTTCCAGGGGATCCGACAGCGTCTTCTGTCCTCGGTGGGCATTGCACAACATGGGTGCACTTACCTTCCTGCAGGCAATACATACATACACATAAAATAAACGTAATAAAATACTTTAAAAAACAGCTATTGCCAGGCTTAGTGGCGCACGCCTATAGTCCTAGCACTTGGGAGGCAAAGGCAGGCAGATCTCTGTGAGTTCAAGGCCAGCCTGGTCTACATAGTGAGTTCCAGGACAGCTGGGGCCACAGGGAGACCCTGCTTCAAAAAGACCAAAAAAACCAAACAAACAAAAAAACCCAGCTATTTTATTCTAGTCACTGTTGCATCACAAATAAATCAATTAATACAGCTTTCATTTGAACTTACAGGAGTCAGAATATAAATCAGTCTAAGCATAGGCCTTCATCCCCTATGGATTGAGTGATTGCTCTTGGTGAGGTAGGAATGGACGCTGCCAGCTAGCTTGTTTGTGTGGATACAGTGTGAATACGGCCTGATTGGAAATCGTCGTTAGCAGTTGACAGTAGTTACTGAAGATTAAAAATTTTATGCAGCAGAGGTATAAACCTGCTGAAAGAATGGTGCACAGATCTGAAGCCAGCAGCTTCATGGTGTTTGCATATGTATCTCCACACTACTGACCACCAGATCTGATAGAAAGGCATCCTCAGCCCCAGAAGGCTCCAGCAGCCACAAAGTATTTATTTCTGCTTCTGTATTGCAGTTGTTTTGATGGCTAACTTCTTATGCTCATATAGTGTGGAAGTTGCATAGATCATATAGTTGCTTGTAACATGGCAGCCTGAGTCCCACTTTCCAAAGTTGTGAAGGATTTTGGACCCAGGGTGGTGCTTGGCACTACCTAAACACTGGGCCACACACCCCTTCCCCTCCTGCTCACAAGTCATGTCTTCTAAGGCAGGTATCTTGTTTCTGAGGCCTTCTAGGTACCATTGCAGTCTCTGTCTCCCGGTCGTTCCTTATTTTAGACAGGCACTGGTATGAATTCCTGGGACTTCCAGGCCTGCAGACACAGGCACCTAGGAGATGGTTTCTCAGATGCCTTCCTGTTCTTTGGGCCAGGAAGTTAAAGCTCAGAGGCAGAAGTAACTTCCCTGAAATCCCATAGCCGCAGCTGAAACTCAAACCCAGGACTCACTTGTTCACACTGTTTATATTTTCTGGGCTCTAAAGAGGGGCAGAGGGGACTGGAGAGTTAGCTCAGAGATTAAGAGCACTGGCTGCTCTTGTAGAAGACCTGAGTTCAAATCCTAGCACCCACATGGTGCCTAACAACCCTCCATAACTCCAGTTCCAGAGGCTCCAATGCCTCTCTGGGCATTGCATGACATGGGTGCACTTACCTACATGCAGACAATACACTCATACACATAAAATAAAAATAATAAGGGGCTGGAGAGATGGCTCAGTGGTTAAGAACACTGGTTATTCTTGCAGAAGACCCGGGTTCAAATCCCAGCACCCACACGGCAGCTAACAACTCTCTGTAACTCAGGCCCAGGGGATCCGACAGCCTC